AAAAAAAAACAAGAGAGATTGAATTTTCACTCTAAAGGGTATGTTTTGTTGGATGTTGTAGATTTCTGGAAGATGTATTTCTCCCTGTTGTTCCTTCCTTGTCTTTTCACCTTCTAAGATCAAGTTGTTTAAAAGAAACAAAAAGACTATTAGATATATATTTGGTTGGATCCTAGGCAAAAATAATTCCCTGACCCCCTGAATTTCATTCGCTTATAAGGGGAAGCAATATGGTCTTGTTGAAAGCATTGCGTTGGCAATCCAGAGGCTTGTCTTTTGGTCCCAGCTTTGCAAGTAAATGATCCTAGACAAGTCACTGCACTTGTTTCCCCCTCCAGACGGTGAGGTAAGGTGGATTCATTCCAAGAGCCTTCTACATGTAGAAAATCACATGAGTTAAAACAAAGGACATGCCCCTGCCATGCTTACAGCACCTCACTAGCTTCTCATTGTCCTCAGCATGGAGCCCAAACTCCTTAGCAAGGCCCACAAAGGGTGTTCCATCTGGCATCTGCTTCTCCAGTCTCCTCTGCTGTGAGCAAGCTCTCTTTGGTTGTAGCCAAAAGCAATCTTTTAGTTTCCCTAATCTGCTGTATTCTCGCTTGAGTTTGGCCTTTGTGCAAGCTGGGCTTTTTGCTTAGAATGATCTACCCTCCTTTCCCTCCCGCTTCCGCACTTTCCCCTAGTTTGCTGCCTAACTTCTGTGCATCCCTCTGGTGTCCACTTACCTGTCTGTTTCTTCTAGCTCCCTCCGTGTCTGGGTTAGGCTAGGGTTAGTCATCTATGCTCCCAGAGCCCCCTGGGCTTCTCTATCACACCCCTCGTCGTGCTGTGTTGTGATTGCTGACGTCGTTGCCTGCATAGCATTATTAGAGCATAAAATCTAAGAGAAGGGATGTGTCTTTCTTGCCTCTCATCACATTCTCAGAGATTCGTCCTTAATAGGAGTTCAATAAAAATGAGTTGAATGAATAATCAAAAGTGAACTCATAGCTCATATGTTGCCAGTGACATGCGTAGCCTTCTGTCTACTATCTTCAGATATGCCTCACGTTCAATCCTGGCTGCACCATCATCAATGAGTGGGTTGAAGCTATCAGATGAGAATTGCATTGCCACCTGCAAGCTGGGGCCCACACAATGTGGTTCCGTGTGTGGCAACCTTGCCTTGTTTTTAGAAAAGTCTCAGGTCACTTAGGACATCTAGGTGTCCGTTTAAAATTGCTTCACAGAAACCAATAGTGGGGTATTTGGAATGGGCATAAGAATTGGTTCTGGAGACAGAAAACAGAAATACTATTTTATGTAGGAAAGGAATATGAGGTGGAGAGAAACTGTGAATAATACAAAAAAAAAAAAAGTCTTTAACTGCCATGGGACTGCTACACAGAGTAGGCTCACCCACTTGGTGCTTGTAGTTAACATTTGGGTAGTTAGCAGGAAAAGAAAAACTTAATAATCAATTACGCAATTTACGTTGTCCATTAGATAAAACCTGAGCACTTGCTCAAAATTGCCTCATTTTACAGATGAAAGAACTGGGGCCCAGAAAGGGGAAGGGTTGCCCAAGGTCAGCTGGACCCAGACTCAGGTCTTTCCACAGGACACTGGGTTGCCTATTTCCTTCTTTGAATCTGGAATAGTTTGTTAAAATAGATGTTTTATGCTTATTTTTAAATATTTTTAAAATTTAAATCCAAGTTAGTTAACATATAATGTAATAATTATTTCAGGAGTAGAATTTAGTGATCTATCACTTACATATAATACCCAGTGCTCATCCCAACAAGTGTCCTCCTTAATGCCCATCGCCCATCTAGCCTGTCCCCCCACCCAACACCCCTCCAGCAACCCTCAGTTTGTTCTCTATATTTCAGAATCTCTTATGGTTTGCTTCCCTCTCTGTTATCTTATATTTTAAAGATATGTTTTAAACTAACATTTGTTAAATGTTTATTTGGGGCCAGCCTCTGTGCTAAGTACTATATATGGATGGGCTAATTTCATCCTCATGAAATCGTAGGAAGTAGTCCTGTTACTTTATAAATGAAATATTGAGGACTGTTTTGTTGCTGAAAGATTGTGACTCCATCTTGGTCCATTTGGAAACACATGTCCCCTCATCATGCTGTCTTTCTCTTACTTTGCTCATTTCTCAAAACTTCTATGGAACTGGTTCCCTTGAAGGTCAGATCTTTCACACATAACTTCATAGCAAAGAACATTTCATCTTTACTTACACAAATTCTGTTTATAATAATTTTAGATAAGAGCTGATAAGGAGGGGCTGAGCATATTCTGAACAGGATTTGAAATGCAGCAGTATAGCCAAAGGCACAATGGGCTCAGTGCTGCTGTGTTCTCAGAAGTTAGCATAGGTGGCCCTATAATCAGCCCCACAGAATGGTTGGGAACATGGAATTTGGGGACAGACAGGTCTGGCTTCAAGCCCCCATTCTGTCACTCACTAATTGTGTGACCATGAATGGCTTCCCTAATTTACTAAGCCTTGTTCTCATCTGTAAAATTGAAACAATCGTCATTGTACCTATCCCTTGGGTTCTTAGAAGATTAAATGAAATAATAAATGTAACATGCTAAGCATAGTCATCATAAGTGGTCAAGAATGGAAGCTTATATTGTTATTATTATGGTTATTAATGTGGTTTGAATTTTGGTGTGATCTCTAGGAAGAATGTAGGACTCGGAATAAGATCTGTATTCTAACCTCACCTTTGTTAAGTAAGTCTACAACCTCAGGCATGCTCTCTGGGTATCACTTTCCTTTTCTGTCTGGTGAGACCCTTGTACTCCTGCTTCGATCCCAAAGCTGCTGAGAGAGCAAACATTATCTTAGATGGGAAGCTGCTGTGAAATATACAAAAGAGAAACACAAATGAATGTTTGCATAGT